GTTCTGTTAAGTTAGCAGTTAAGAGAACCGGATACCGTATGGTCGACCTCAGTTCAAATCCCAACCCCAAAAGCTTAAAAATCACCCTAAGTACATGTGTATGCGTGCCCAGAATTCCTGCCAGAATGGAGAAACGGAGGAGAAGGGATTACGGTATAACCCTGACCTGCGGTGGGGTGGGGTAGGGGGGATGCTTTCTTTCTCTTTATCTCCGTTTCTGTAGTGGGTGCACCTGCTCCATGGCAATTGAGAAAAAAAAGTATGCAGCAAGAGAACCCTTGGGGTTCATATCAGCTGCAGGTCTTTCTTCCCACCCTTCCAGACCTAGGCTGAGTTCACTTCCTATTATCTTTATATGTGGCCTGCATTTATTTTAAACTTAGGATGCTCATCAGGTTATTTCCTCACTTGCTGTATCACTGAGAATTTGCAGTGGGAAGCAGCTGTCATCCTGCTTAGAGACCTGACCTCCAGTAAAAAGAACCTTGAATAATGAGACAGGAAATCCACATTCCTTTCTAAGCTCTGTCTTTGCTTAGCCATGTGATCTTCAGTAAGTTTTCCCTCTTGATGAGTCTTGGTTTCCCCATCTTTCTTTTTTTGGGGAGGAGGGGAGAGAGGTTTTTGCTATAAGGCGCTTGCACTTGCCTGAAAGACAGAGTCAAAGAGACAGAGAGACATAAAGCGAGAAATTATCCCCCGGGGGGTGGCCATGCCACACTCTCTTCTCCATTCTCCTCTTGGGATCTTGGGCATGCACGCACATGCATCCCTTATGAGTTTAAGCCACCGGGTCTAGGATTCAAACCATGGTCAACTACATAGGAGTCCAGCGACATAGCCATTATGCCAACTGCTGGTCCCCATCTTTCATATGAGAATGTCAGACTTGCAGATTTTTCAGAAGTCTTTTTAAAAGATTTTCTGAAAATGTCTGTCTCACCTAATAAAATTTTTTTTGATTGAGATTAAATATACATAACATAAAGTTTACCACCTTAACCACTTTTAGGTGTACAGTTGAGTGGTGTTAAGTGCCTTCGTATTGCTGTGCTCTCAATGCCACCACTGATCCAGAACTCTTTTTCTTCATTTCCCTTTCCTCCTTTCCTTTCCTTTCCTTTCCTGTCCTTTCCTTTCCTTTCCTTTCCTTTCCTTTTCTCTTCCCTTCTTTCCTTTCCCCTTATTTTTTCTTTTTTGCTAAAGGACACGTGTGCTTGCCAAAAAAGTGACAGAGAGAGAGGAGAGAGAGGGAAAGTCAGAAAACGCCCCAGGGGGCATAGCATACCTCAATCCATTCTCCTCTTGGGATATGAGACATGCACGCACTTGGACCCACATGTTTTTCAGGGTGCAGTTTGCCATGTGGGATCCAGATGCCTTAACTACCATGTCACTGGCTGGCCCTTATTATTTTAAAAATGTTGCCAGAAGGTGTGTAGGCTCACCTGGAAGAGAGAGGGAGAGAGAGAGGAGAGAGAGAGAGAGAGAGAGAGAAAGCACCCTACATATGATGGTCATGCTGCAGTCCCGTCTCCATTTCCCTCTCCTTTAGCGATTCGGGGTACATACACGCACCTGCCCAGTGTGCTTTTCAAGCTGTCAGGTCTGTGCTCGAACTGGCAGACTGCCCAGATCCAGCTGCCTTCACCAGCATGCAGCAGGCTGGCCCCACACCTCTTTTAATCTTGCAGAACTGAAACTCTGTTCCCGTTCAACAACAGCTTCCCATTCCTGCCCTTGGCGATTCCCGCCCTTGGCAACCCCCATTCTCCTTGCCGTGTTTTACTGCTCCAGGGGCCTCCCGTGAGGCAGTCATGCACCTGTCCTCCCTGAGGGGCTTTCTGTACTTAACATGCTCTCAGGCTTCCTCTGTGTTGCAGCCTGTCTCAGATTTGCTTCTTCTTTAGGGCTAAGTAATATTCCATCAGAGTCATAGACTTTTGCTTATCCGTTTTTCTGTCAGTGGACACCTGGGTTGCTTTCAGCAACTGTAATGCTGCTACAAACATGGGTATGCAAATACTGGAGTCTCTCTTTTTTAGAGAGAGATTTTTGCTAGAGGGCATATGTGCTCACTGGAGAGGCAGAGACAGAGAGACAGAAAGAGAGAAATCACCCCCCGGGGGCGGGGTGGCCACCCCTTAGTGCCTTCTCCCTCCATTCTTCTTTTGGAATCTTGGGCAGGCATGCACATGTGCCAGGTATGAGTTTGAAGCTGCCAGGTCTGGGACTCGAATCATGGTCGACTGCGTGGGAGTCCAGCGACTTAACTGTTACACACTCAGCTGGTCCCCAAACTCTCTTTTTTAAACTGAGCTTTATAGAGGTACAGATTACATACGCTAAAATTCAGCTTGTTTTGGCATACAGTTCTGTGAGTTTCGACAAGCACAGGTTAGCATCAAAATCAAGATATAGAAACATGCTCCTCAAGTTCCTTTGTCTCGAACTCCAGCCTGGCAACCACCTATCCATGATCTGTCCTTTACTAGAATGGCACAGAAGTGGAGTCGGACGCTATGCAGGTCCTAGCGTGTGGCCTCTTTCACTTGGCACAGTGCGTTGGGCTGACCTGTGTCGTAGCATGTATCAGTGGACCGGCGGTTTGTTTTTTATGTTAGCCGAGCAGTCCTCTGTTGTGTGGATGTACCATGGTTAGTTTATCGCACACTGAAGATCATCTGGATTGTTTTCATTTCTGATGGTCACAGAGCTGTCCCAGTCACTCAGAGGCAGTGGATATAAGCTCCCATTACTCTTGGGAAAATTCCCGGGCGTGGGGTTGATGGGCCATCTGCATTTCCAGCGGCCTTGGTAGTGTCACTTCTGCTCTGTTTCGCTCTTTATTTAGCCGTGTTAATAGCTTCAGAGTGGTGTGTTAGAATATTCATTTGCCTGATAACTAACAACGTTGAACATTTGCGAATGTGCTTATTTGTCATTGGTGTATTTTCTTTGGTGAAATGACTGTTAAAATCTTTGGGCCATATTTTTATTGGATTGTTTGTTCTTATTCTTGAGTTTTGAGAGTTCTTGGAATATTCTGAATACAATTCTTTTATTAGCTGTGTTTGTACAGATTTTCTCCCAGCCTTTGGCTGGACTTTTAATTTCCTTAAGAGTGTGTGGACTGAGATGAGGGCTCTGACTTGTGGGCAGCGGAGGAAGTTTTCCCAGGGCAAAGCCAAACCACAGTGTGCTCATACCTGTGACCTCAGCTGCACGGGTGACTTCTGACCACCCACACCCACCTGTCCTTTTGCTAGAGCAAAACAAGCATTTCCTACTTACCTTCTGAAGTCCCTCTAAATCCAATGGCGGTCCAGGTCCTCGCGACCCTTGCAGCCCAGGTACTCAGCATTGTCATGACCTTGCAAGTTGTGCTCTGAAAGGTCCCGAGCTCTCTTTTTCATGTGTGTTTTTCTAAGTCAGTCCTATCTGAGTGTAATTTTAGTTCTGCCCGTCGGAAGTTCTCCAGAGGAAAGTATTATCTGTGTCTTCCACAGGGCACATTATGTGTAATCAGAACCAGAAAGCTGTCTTTAAGTTTTGCCCTGAAATGAAATAACAAGCAGTCTCAGAAGCTGAGGCGCAGTGGACGCTGGTTGGTCTCGTTTCTTGTTTACTGTTTCTCCTCCCGATGTGCCTATGTATGTTGGGTTCTCCCAGATGATACGTGTGTCTGGATGTACATGTAAATGACTGTATCTATATTTAGAATTCACCTTTTTAATAAGAACAACTTCTATAATTTGAAATTAAAAGGTGACTTTGGTTCAAACATTTTCTTTTTGCCTGGTGTACTGCTTTGCATGTAGCAGACACTCTGGTTACTAAGAAAAGTTACCGGTGTGAATATGTTCTAACTTCTTATCTTTCTTTTCATTTTATTTATTTTTTTATTTTAAGTTTCTGCTATAGGGCAAGTGTACTTGCCAGAGAGAGACAGAGATGGTGAGAAGGAATTGCCACTTCCTCCCCCCGGGGGGCTGGCCACGCCACAATCCCTTCTCCTCCATTCTCCTCTTGGGATTTTGGGCACGCACGCACACATACCCAGTGTGATTTTCAAGCCGTCAGGTCTGAGACTTGAACTTTGGTTGGCCACATGGGAGTCCATGCCATCTGCTGGCCCCCGGCCCCCTAACTTCTTAGCTTTAATTCTTTTTTTCTTTTTTTTGCCAGAGGGTGTGTGTGCATGGGAAAGAGGGAGGGATGGAAGAAGGGGGAGGAAGAGAGAGAGAGAGAAAGAAAGTGTTCCCCAGTGGGGCCTGGCCACACCACAATCCTTCGCCCTTCATTTCTCCTTGCTCGCAGGACCCTAGGCACACATGTACATACGTGGCATGGTTCTCAAGCTCCTGGGGCCCGGATTTGAACTGCAGTCAACCATGTGGGTTCTGGTTCCCCCTATACAGCCCTTGACTGCTGCACTCCAGGGCCAGCCCGGAGCTTTAATTCTTTTTGCTCACTCTTGACCAGTGTGCAATCAAGAGATTTCAGTTACACTCCCTTTATCCTAGGCCGTATCTTGACTCTCACAGATTTCTCTGCTGGCTGTGTAGATCGAATCCTGAACTGATAAAGTTTTTCAACATTAGGCTCAGTTGAAGATAGAAACAACCAGATAACGTGGCCAAAGCCACAGGCAATGAGTCTAAAACTCCTGTCTCTCCTTTAGGGCTAGAATGCGGAGTGTGTGGAAAACCCGTCAGTCTGATTTTTTGGTGGATTAGTGGACATCCTGTTGATAGCACAGTTGATGTGAGAAAGGGAACTGAGGTGCTGATGCCAGTCTGCCTGGAGACTGTCTTCAACTAGCACTTCAGCTAGTCATGTACTGTGCCTCTGTCGTAGACTTACTGAGTAAACAGTACATAAGTAAAAGGTAGTAATAGATATTTACAGTAATAAATAAAAGATATGAAGCCCCCTGCCCCCATTCCTCCTACCAGCCTACATGAAAAAGCATCAGATTTCCACCTGTCTAGTATGACTGGAAGCTGCCTGGATTCATGACAGGGTATTCACGGCTTTAAGAATGCTCAGCTGGGGGAACCAGCAGTTAGCGTAATGGCTATGTCGCTGGACTCCCACATAGTCGACCACGGTTCGCATCCTGGACCCGGTGGCTTAAAACTCATGCCAGGCGCGTGTGCGTACGTGCCCAAGATCCCGAGAGGAGAATGGAGGAGAAGGGATTGTGACGTGACCATCCCCCCTGGGGGGTGATTTCTTGCTTTCTGTCTCTCTGTCTCTCTCTGTCTGGCTGGCAAGCGCATGCACCCTGTAGCGAAAACCTCTCCAGGAAAAAAAAAAAAAAAGGACGCTCAGCTGGTTTTGCTGCAGTCACTTCCCCTCCCGACGCGCCTTGTGGTCTCCCCTCCTCAGCACGCGCCATGCGGGCTCTCTGGGTTCTGCACACTCTGCTTGCAGGGAGTTGAGAATTCTAGGTTGTACTTTTTCTTCATAACTCTGGACTAAGCACTAAGTTCTGCATTTGATTTGACGAATCGCGTCGGATGTTCCTGCTAGTCTCTCGTGTTCTTATGTACCCTGACTTTTTCTTCCAAGGATTACCTAACTTCTACCATTGCAAAAAGCGAATCAGCGGGTATTCCAGTTCAGAGCGTTAATTAGCATCTCATTTATCTGCGGTCAGCACGTCCGTCCTGGCAGGTGCCAGTCCCCGTCCAGTAGATCTAAACTCCCCATTGGGCGAGACGAATGGCACTCCATGGCAGGGAGTCGCCGGGGCTCCCTCGCTGCTCTTGCCCGCAGTCTCTTTACCACTGAGCCTGCAGGGGACTGCGGTGGAAGACCATCTTCTGGGCGAAAGATCTCCAGGTCTTTAGAAGTAGCTAAGGGGGCCTGCCCCCGTGGCTTCCCCTTTAGGTTGGGTTGAGTGGAAAGCAGGACGACACAGCCATCCCAGACTCAGACCTCTGCCTTAGAGTAACGGGGGGTGTCTCTTCAGCCTGGGGGTGAGCTGGTTCTCAGTGCTTTACCCTATCAGGGCCCTGTGTACTAAGGAGGGGCGGGGATGGCATTCCTCTGCCCTGTTTCTTTTTTCTTTTTTTTGAGAGGTTTTCACTATAGGGCGCGTGCGCTTGCCAGACAGACAAAGACATAGAGACAGAAAGCGAGAAATCTCCCCCCCAGAGGGGATGGTCACGGCGCAAGCCCTTCTCCTCCATTCTCTTGGGATCTTGGGCACGCACGCACACGCGCCTGGCGTGAGTTTTAAGCCACCGGGTCTGGGTCGCGAACTGTGGTCAGCTATGTGGGAGTCCAGCGACATAGCCATTACGCTAACTGCTGGTTCCCTTTTTTCTTTTTTTTGAGAGGTTTTCACTATAGGGCGCGTGCGCTTGCCAGACAGACAAAGACATAGAGACAGAAAGCGAGAAATCTCCCCCCCAGAGGGGATGGTCACGGCGCAAGCCCTTCTCCTCCATTCTCTTGGGATCTTGGGCACGCACGCACACGCGCCTGGCGTGAGTTTTAAGCCACCGGGTCTGGGTCGCGAACTGTGGTCAGCTATGTGGGAGTCCAGCGACATAGCCATTATGCTAACTGCTGGTTCCCCCTCTGCCCTGTTTCTAATCACAGGAGGCCTTAATCTGATTCGTTAAAAATAGCACAGAAATGCTTTATCGGTCTACCTTGGCTGCCATCATAAAGTACCACAGACGGGCGGCTTAAACAACAGAAGTTATTTTCTCACGGTTCTGGGGGCCTGAAGTCCAAGCTGTAGGTGCCGTGAGGCTCTCTTCCTGGTGCGCGGACGGCGTTTCTCCCGCGTCTCACACGTTCCTTCCTCCGTGCGTGCAGTCTCTTCCCGTAAGGACACTCGTCCTGTCAGATAGAGTCCCACCCTCATGACCTCACGTAACCGTCATTACTTCTGTAGAAGCACTGTCTCCACGCATGGACAGATGGCGGGTTAGTGCTCCGACATAGCAAACTGGAGGGGTATCCGAGCATTCACTCCAGGTACTGTGTTACCATTAAAATTTGATGTGGCTTTTTTTTTTGTTGTTCTTTTTTAAGATTTTTGCCATAGGGCACATGTACTCACTGAAGAGGGAAAAAATGAGTTATCCCACAGAGGGGATGGCCACGCTGCAATCCCTTCTCCTCTCAGGATTTTAGGCATGCATGCACATGTGCCTGGCATGATTGTCCAGCTGCCAGTTCTGGGACTCGAACTACAGAGTCGGCCATGCAGGATCCAGCTGTCTTAACCTTCACACCGCCTGCTGGCCTGGCGCGGCTTTGTTTTTAACTATGACATGCACCTCTCTCCCCAGATATCATTGCCATTTCATTCTAGAGGGAAAATAAGGACGAAACAGAGTGCCCTACCTCCGGGGAGCTCACTGAGCCCTAAGGGAGTGTGCCAAGGGGTGCGGGGAGGCCGGGCATGGGCCAGGGAGACCGAGCGAGATGTTCTGTGTTGTGCCTGGGAGTTGGGGTGCAGCCAGGAGAAAACAGAGAAGAGGACTACTTCCTGCCCCTGACCAGAGGCCCGGGGGGAAGGTGCCCGTGGCTCCAGTGCCAGGCACGCAGGGGTCCCCAGGAGACGGAGGTGGGTGAACAGCTCAGGTTTTCTGGGGGCTGCTGTCCCTGGGGGCGCAGTCCCTCAGTTCTGGGTGTATCCTCTCATGGACATTCTGGCTTCCTGCCTGACCACCATCCATGTAACCCTTTCGGAGCCACAGACAGAGCCAGCAGAGGTGGAGAGGGTGGGAGTGGCTGGGATGGGGCAGGTGCAGGCCCTGGGCCTGCATGGTGGGGAGCCAGCGGGGAGCGGCCAGAACTGCCCTGTGTTGAAGCATGAGGCTGTCTGCATGGACCCTGCTGTTCTGGTCCTGCCCAAGTGTGGGGCCAGAATTGCCAGGGCTTCTGATTTTTCAAGGGAAGCTAGAAATTATTTTTACATGAAACGCTTACGTATTTTATGTGTTGACAATTAATTTCTAATTAAACACCGTCTAGGCTAAGCGGAGTGCAGTGGGCTGGGATTCAGGCCACTCATCTGCTAGCTGGATGGGCAGAGTGGAGTGTGTGTCTAGCAGGTGGGCGAGGGGCTGTGGGGCTGAGGGGGCTCCTGAGGAAGACCTAGTCCCCCTTTCCCGTCCCTGGGGCCCAGGGTCATCACCCAGACTTCAGCTGCTTCCACTCTTACCTGTGCCTGCTTTGGGCTTACTAGACTGGGACTGGAATGCTTTGCCTCAGCTGGTGTTCTTGCCTGGGTGGCCTTCCCTTTGAAATGTGCAGGACCACCTTCCTTATTCATTTATCTTTCAGCTTAAAGTCCCAAGTAGGCTTTCTCTGACCCCTCCCCTCCACTCTCCTACATAATTCTGGTGTAGCTCTCTTGTGGCCTCTGACCACTTGACATCCTTAATGTGTACAGGTGTGTGTGTGTGTGTTCAGCCCACTCTAGAATGTATACTTCCTAACAGTCGCCCTGTTTTCTGCCCAGTCCCCAGCTTCTAGACTAATGGCTGACACACAGCCCCTGTTCAAGATGCTTAGTAAATAAAAGTCGAGAGAAAGGAGAAATAGGCTCTGACTTACGCTTTAGTTCTTTATTTTTTTGAAAGTTTCTTTCTTTCTTCCATGAGTAAGGAAGAGACAGAGTGGAGGAGGCACCCCGTTAGCCTTCACGCCGCAGTCCACCCCCAGCGCCAGCCAGCCCAGACGGGCTGGAAGGCCCCCGGATGAGAACCTGGACCCTGCGCACAGGGTCAGCCACACGGAGGGCTGTGCTACCCCTGCGGCACCATTGGGTCCCCGGTTCTGCATTTTTAGCTAACGCCTACAATTTAAGCACGCTTTGTTGTTGTTATTCTTGACAGTGAAGAGGAAGAAAAGTTCTAAGTCAGAGGCCAAGGGAACTGTATCTAAAGTGACTGGGAAAAAAATCACCAAGATCATTGGTCTGGGGAAGAAGAAGCCGTCCACAGACGAGCAGACGTCATCGGCTGAGGAGGACGTGCCCACGTGCGGTAAGACGGGCCCGGCCAGGAGCGAGCCCCGCTCCTCAGCGTGTCTCTGCTCTCCTGAGCCCCTCTGGTCCAGGTTCTTCTGCGGCTCATTGATTCGAGCTCCTTTGCATTGGATTAGCGATCATCCGAATCTTATTAATAAAAGACTTTGCAGGGGGTCGAAATGATCGCTAAGGTTCTTTCTAGAAAAAAAAGTCTCTCTTTGCTCCTATGAAGTTCTCTCAAGTTCCTTGTTTTATAAATAATTATTTATTTTAATTTTTTTATTATTATTATTATCATTCGATTTGAGTAGAGAGAGAGAGAGAGAGACAGAAACTGAGAAAGGAAGAGTGCGAAAGCAAGCCACCAGGCCGGGGACTCGAACCATGGTTGGCCATGTGGGAGTCCAGTGCCTCAACCATCACTGTACCTGCTGGCCCCTCAGATTCCTGTTACGTGTTTTTACTAGAATGTATACATGTGTGGTTAGTTTAAAAAGTTGAGCAAAACATTTATGGAATTAAAATTAGTTTTTTCCGTTCACCATTGTCTGCCCAGATAATTTTATCATGTCTACTAAAAATTGATACTGGGCCAGTGGGTGGTGTGGAGGTTAGGGCGGCTGAATCTACATGGCCAGGTGTGCAGTTTGAGTCTTAGATCTGGTGACCTGAAAAACACACTTGGGCGCGTGTGTTAGCCCCAAATCCCGAGAGGAGACTAGAGGAGAAGGGATTAGGGCATGGCATGGCGTCTCTCCTGGGTGTTAATTTTTCACTCTCCCTGTCTCTCTTGCTCTCTCTCTCTTGAGCAAGTACATATGTCCCATAGCAGACTACACGAATAAATAAATAAAACTTTTAAACAATTTTTTTTCAGAGAGATATATTTTTGCTATAGGGTGGGTGCGCTTGCCAGAGAGGCAGAGAGAGACAGAGAGATAGCAAGCAAGAAGTCATCCTCTGGTGGGATGGCCACACCACAGTCCCTTCACTCTCCTCTCGGGATTTCGGGCACACATGCCCACGTGCCTAGCGTGAGTTTTAAACCTCCAGCTCCAGGATTCAAACAACGATCAAATACGTTGGAGTCCAGGAACGTAACCATTCCACCATCTGCTGGTCCCATAACTAATAAAGCGTTTAAAGGCTGCCATGCAAGCCTGGTGCGCTCCGAGGTCCTTGACTCTGTCCTTGGTCAGGTCACAAGCTAGTCAGTAGCTACTGATGTTCGTTCTGTTACCTAACCCCAAGGAGAAGGCCCAGAGGGCGGCCACGCTGCCGAGCTGCCGCGCCGCTCGTGCCCCGGCCCTGCTCCCTGCCGCCTCCACCATTCCCGGAGCCTCCCCTCACCTCTCCCATCTCCCCCTGTGATAAAGTAGGAGGCAGGAAAGTGCACAACCTCAGTAGTTTCGTTTCTTTGAGTTTCTTAAGCTGTTCCAGGTCGGTGGAGGAAGTTGAGGTTCTGCAGTGAGGAATAATCAAACATTCATATGAAAAGCAGCTTCCAGACTGTGTCCAAAACCCTCCTTTCCCCAGCAAGAGCACCGAAGCTCAGAAAGGGTGCATGACCTGCTCTGAGTCACAGAGCCAGCACATGCCTTCTCCGAATCCTCCCCTAGCTCCTCATAAACAGCTTTATTTGTGCTGGTAATCAGGTGTCGCAGTAAATCCATTGCCAGGCACTTCCTTGGAAGCACAGTGATTGCTCAGGGCAGGGAGAGTGTATCTGCAGCATCTCATTATGCACATGTGGGTCTCCATCACACTGCTTAGTGGACAACTTCTGCCTCTATTAAGAGAACATCCTCTGTCCACAAGATTTTAAAACTGTCATCTGGTTCTTCACTGGGGTAAAGGGAGGCATCTTTAAAAAGGGGAGGGAGGAGGAGGACAATGGCCGTTTCAGTTACTTCGGTACAGCTGCAAAGTTTCAGGCAGAAAGAAGGAGCTGGACAAAGGCCAGAGAGACTGATCCTGCCAAGTCGAGTCTCCGCAGCTGCTCCTGCCCTGCTCCCGGAAGATAAAGTGCTGAGCTGGATGGGCCGGAAGGAAGGGCAGCTGAACAGACAGCAAACACTCCCCAGAGCTATGGAGAGCCGAGTTCAAATCCCAGATCTATGCGTTGCAGTCCAGTCAGCTGTGCCCCAGGACACATGATAAAAATGCTGTCAAGGGGCTGGCAGGTGGCATGGTTGTTAGGGACGCTGGACTCCCCCATGGCCAACCACGGTTGGAGTCCCAGATCTGGCAACTTGCTTTCTTGCTTTCTTACTCTCTCTGTCCCTCTCTGGTCAAATTGAAAAGAAATAAAGAAATAAAGTTGAATAAAATAATTGTTAAAAAAAAATGCTGTCGAGGCTTTCCTCGTGGAGACAGGAGGGGAGGCTCTCAGTAGATGTTCTCCAGGCGTGAGCGGGGGAGAGAGGGTGACCACGGCAGCCTGGCCCACAGGGGGTTCTGCTCCCCCTGCAGGTCCAGAAGTTGCTGCCTGAGGGCCCCCCCCCCCTAGCACTGGGCGGGTCAGCCTGCACAGAGATAATACGGTCTGTGCCCAAAGACCCCTTACCCCAAAGTCTCTTTTATTTGTCCTTCTCCGCTTACAAGTCCCAGCATCATTGTCACTTTATAAAGTAAGCAATTGTTATCAGGAAACGCATTTCCATTTTCTTCTCTTCCCCACCCCTATTTCCATCTGTCGTTTGGCTCTTGCAACACCCTCTGGATTGGCCTATTGTTGTGCTCTGTGTCTCCTCCAGGCCCCCAGCTGGAACTTTGAAACCTTAGACGACTCATACCATTTCTGTGTCTGATAAAACCGTTTCCTTTGCTGTCCAGTTCAGGGCCTCTGATAATCTTGCCTCAGCCCCACCCTTCTGACCCCTCCTACCTGCTCACCTGCTGTGCTACAGCCCCTGGTGGAGTCTGGCAGAGAGGAACAAGCAACTTGAGCCCACGTGGTGACGTGGTGACGGCGTGAGCTCCCTTCAGCACATTGCTTAGCCTCTGGCCACCTTGGTTTCCTCTTCCAGGAAACTCGGCACTTACAGTCCTTGGTTTCCATAAATACAGGAGAGAAAGTACTGCAACACTGAGTTCAATACCTACCTCGTGATTCGTGCCCAGTAAATGGCCATTTGTTTACCTGACTTGCTCTTTTTGTTTTTAATTTGCCATATGGCATTTGTACTCGCTAAACAGAAACAGAGACAGAGAGAATGTGAGGAAGCACCTCCCGGGGGTGACACCACACTGGAGTCTTTTCTCCTCCATTCTCCTCTTAGGATGTTGAGTGTGTGCACACGTGCCTGACATGTTTTTCAAGGTGCCGGGTCTGGGACTTGAACCGTGCAGTCGAACTATGGGATCCAGTCACCTAAACCAACATGCCACCTGGCTGGTTCCATTTTTCCTTTTTTTTTTAAATAAACATAAATATACCAGGAAATAGCATGAGCACATTGTCACATGAGTGGTATAGAAACTAGATACATGAACATTGAGACTAAATGTCCCAGTGTGTGGAATGGAGGGCTTCGTGGCATTCAGGTGGCCGGAGCTGAGTCCCAAGGGCTTACTGGGTGTTTCCAGGGCCTTTCCAGCTGTCCCGTTCTGTGACTTTGTGAAGTTCTCAGTGGTAGGGTTTCTTAGTGGACATACAGGGAAGTTACATACTTGTCACATCGCGTCACGCTCTACGTCCACACAAACATCAGGCAACCTTTAGTGAAGGGGGGAAGACTGCCTAGCACAGGAGCCGCCATGTCAGCTTGGTGCAAGCCCTTTCGAAGCTCTCGGGGAGGGAGCTTTCGACCTCGGCAGGGCCGTCATCAGCTGTGGGCAGGGTCGTCATCAGCTGTGGGCAGGGTCGTGACACCTGGTATGTCTGAAAGCTGTTCTGGGACGCCTCTCCCGTGGCCCCTCTCCTCTCGGCCGATCAGAGACGAGCACTTGCTGAGGTTCGGTACCAGCCACCTCGGGATGAAACGCCTCTCCGCAGGGCTGAGTTTCGGCCACTGTAACCAGAGCACAGTAGCCGCTTGGGCAGACACTCACTTCCCTTCCTGAAGGGAATAAATAAATGGAACCTTGGCGCACTTCTCCAAGGCTGCCCCCGCTGCTACCCTCCAGCTGCCTGAGCTCGACAGCCGCCTGGCACCCAGCGAGAGAAGCCAGAGAGCGGGAACAGCTGCCTGTGGGAGGGTTTAGGTCTGTTGCGCTCTGTGTTTTCTGTTTGTTTGTTTGTTCTCAGGCTATAAAGTTAATTTTATAGTTCCAGCGAACCTCCTCGTGCACTCTTGCCATGATGTTGCGAGGAACAGAGTTCTTTCTTTAGGATATGGAGCAGACATACTCTCAAATGTTCAACTGTCATTCCCAAGTAGTTAAGATACAGTAACGCCCTACATAATATAAGTACCCCGCCAAAGGGGAAAAAAAAATCAGAGTCTGTGTGGAATCGCCTTGCCAACCATTCGCTAGGTGGCCAGGGTGGGCCTGTGAGCTCCTGGGCCTGGAGTCCTCCCTGAGGGAGCCCAGTCCGCCGGTCCTGCTGCGCTTCGGCGCCACCTGGTGGTGCATGTCTGCTCCAGTTTAAAGGTTGCCTGGGATGGTTGGGGTCTGGGTGCGCATTGCTTTCATCCAGAGCCTGCCTCTGCTGTTAGATGATATTCGGGAGCACCAGGGACAGGCCCTCTGACTCCAGATGGTGTTGTCTGAATTACCCTGCTCAGCTCCTCCCTCCTCTGTGTTGCCAGCCCTTTCTGAGAAAGCGAGGTGGGGAGGGAGCAGACGGCAGGGAAGGCCGGTCTCCAAGCATGGGCAGGTCACCTGGCACTTACTGTCCACGTGGACAGCTCTGTCATCCCTGCGACGTGTTTTTCTCTCTTTGAGGCTGTAAATAAATCTGAGGGAGGTTTTTAAATATGGTCATTTCCCATGAAGTCATGTTCTAAATAAAATAGGAATCTGTTCAATATGACCATTCCCGTTGTGGCAGAAATGTCAAGAATTCATAGCATTCAGGGACTGTGAGCTAGCTTTTGTCAGGGAATCCATTCCCAGGGGCCCTGCACCTCTTCGGGAGCCGTCCTCCCCGTGGTGTGGGCCCTCCTTGGGAATTGCTGCCCCGTTGCTCTGGAGCCCCGCACATATGCAAGGCGTGTCCTACACTGGCCAGGAGCCCCACACTGGAAAGTCACGTGGAACTCGGAAGGGGTGTGGTCACTGGTTATTGAGAAGGCAGAGATACATTGGGCCTTCTAGTTCTGCTTAAAATTATTCCTAAATAAACATCTCAGCCCTTCCTTGCCCGGATCCCCACACTGTGTCTTCTGCACAAGGGCCAGGCTTCTGTAACTCACATCCGAGGTTCTCTGTCCTCTAGGTCACTGGCAGTCTGAAGGCTCGGTCTCTCCGCTCCTTCTCCAGGCCTGTTGAAATCCTCCCTCTCCCTGGCACACGGAGGGGCACCTCGGCCGCAGCCACCCCAGGACACACACCCGTTCCCCTTTTGCAGCTCTAGCAGTACCTCCCATCCGTCCCCAGCTTAGGTCTTCTCAGAAATCGTGTCTGTGTGTGCTAACCCTGGGCTCCAGATAAATCAGGTTGCTAGAGAGGGGCTCTTGCCTTCCATTTCTCTTTAGATATGCCATCACGTTTGTCAGCTCACGCTCAGAAAATACTTAGTGTTAATACAGTGGGGGCCTTTTCATAAGTACAGAAAAGTTGGCTTTCAGCACGACTAACTGCTGATGGACGGTATCAAGCCACAGGTACCAAGTCGTTCCAAGAGCCATTACTCAGATATTCAAATATTACAGTGGGCTTATGTTTTAGGTAGAATTTTTTAAAGGTTTTTTATCATATGGCATGTGTAATTGCTGGAGAAAAGACAGACAGACAGACAGACAGTAAGAGAAGTGAGAAATCACCACCACCACCACCACCACCACCCCCCAGAGCGGTTGGCCATGCAACAGTCCCTTCTCCTCTAGTCTCCTCCTGGGATTTTGAACACACAGGCACATGTAGCTGGCGTGTTTTTCAGGACGCCATGTTCTGGACTCAAACCGGGGTTGGCAACGTGAGAGTCCAATGCCTTAAACACCACACCACCTGCTGGCCCCACCATTTTTCTTTTTAAGCAATAAATGAATCAGAACTAAGTCATTTGCAAGTAAGTCGTTCATGGACTGACAATCGCGTGAGCCCATAGCTGTTAACAGCTCCTTATCTGCCACCTGTAGCTCCCAGCAGGGCTTCGGACCTGGCGTTGCTGTGTGGCCTTGCATTAATCACTTCCGCAGGCTGGGGGATCCTTGCCTCCTTCATAAAGCAAACCCTTTAAGATGCCTTCCAGCTTTGATTCTGCAGCCTCTTTTCACTAGGTCCCTCCAGTCCCTCCTAAATGTTTACAAAACACAGTTTCTAGTGAGTCGAACTTATTCTCTGAACACAAGAGGGCAGCCACGTCGCAGACCCTCGAGACCACAGGCTTGCTTCCCCATTTTTGCGCCTCACAAATGCACAGCTTACACCTCCCTCCCCAAATTTTTAGTCCTAGGAAAAGCAGTGTGTCCTTTTCCCAAGTGTGTGTTGGTAGCAATGCCATCACATTTAGCAGAACGAACATTTAAATTCTCTAAGTATGTACCTATTCAATTCCTTGAGAAATAATTTACAAATATTTATAAATAATACATGAAAATCATTCTCAATCCTGAACATTTATTTTTTCCATCTTTATAGCATTTATCCATTGCTAATAAAGTGAAATAGAATTTGAACATAAAAGAAGTAGAAAGAATTCTCTAAAACCCTTTGGAAAAGCATTTCTAAAAAGTCAGGATTTACAGTTGACTCTTGAACCATGTGGGGGGTTAAGGGTACCCATCCCCTGTGCAGTTGAAAATATACATTTAAATTTCGTCTAAGTTTGTGTACTGTGTGTGTGTGTATCAGGGACACACAAGGACTCTCAACAGTCTCATGCCACAATTCCCCAGCCTTCCCGGCCAGCGGGATGACAGGCATGTGCAGGTGGTGTGGACAGGTCCGGCAGGGAACTGAACTCGCCATCTTCCCCATGGGTCAGGCATTACCTGCATGTATGTTACCTCTCTACCGCTGGGCCAATCCCCAAACCCACATGCAACTTTCGTCTTCCTTCAGTTTCACTGCTAATAGCTTGGTGTTGACTAGAAGAACCCTTATCACCAGCCAGTTGACACATATGTTGTATATATATTACTTACTGTGTTCTAGAGAAAAGGAAATGTTAGTAAATCATACGGAGGAGAAAGAACGGTTTTTCTGTATTTATTTTTTTAAAAATCTGTACAGTGGTGGACCCATGTTGCTTAAACCTATGTTCAAGGGCTCTCTGTGTTTTATTCCTGTAACATTTTGAGCTGTGTGCGTGTGCGTGTATATGCATGTGTATGTATGAGTTGAAAGAGTAGCTAAATGACTTAAGTCGGGAATCCTTTTTTTTTTTTATTTCTTTTTAACCTGATAGTCATTATTTTATTTGACATTTCACCCACCGTCTCAATCTTAAGGGAGGGAGCAGTCCCTGACTAGCATTGAGGAGTGGCTGGAAGTCCCACCACCCTGTGAAATCTATGTTTTCATGGCTTGTTATTTTTAGAAAATTCCATTTTGTGTTTGCAACAACAAATGGTCAGTTCCCTGTATTTGAGGAATTTTCCTTTTTTTAAAAAAAATGAGAATAATAATTCTTCCTCTGTTCCATCTACTATGAGTAACACACTAAGAGACCGTGTGTGTCAGAGACACAGGTGACAAAAATTCATGCATGGTCAGACTCAAGAGTTTCGGTTTCATCTGGGCAAGCTCCCCCAGACAGTCTTCAAAGCAGAATGCTGAGATAGGACACAAGGGCCGTCTGGGGCCTCTGGCCTCTGCAGGAACCTCATACCAGAGACCTTCCCTCATTCGCTGGACTACTTCCAGTGAACTTATCACCTCCCGAGGCCTCCGTTTCTTGGAAAGTTTTCATTTTCAGATAGTCGTTTTTTCTCATGGTCAGCCAGGATCTGGCTTTCTGTGCCATTCGCCCTGCGTGCCATCGCTAGCTACTCAAACAGGATCTCTTTCCATGCGATTTCCCTCCCGTTGTTTGAAGGCAACCGTCATATCCCCTTTCCTTCTCGCCATTCAAAACCTGGTGGCTTAGTGGCTTTTCGCGTATCCCAGGCCAATTCTAGGTTCCCACACGTTAGATGCCTGCCAGGCAGGAATGTGCTGCTCTGCGTGCTGGGCTCTGCAGGAAGGCCAGGGCCTCCCTGGACATGCCAGGCACGTGCGCGCCCACCATCCAGGCTGGCCGAGGCGGGGTGGGCTGCAGTGGGAAGGCACAGCCGGGGCCCCTCTCTGCCTCCCTCTTGTCCTCTCTCTCTCATGAAAGAAAGAAACTAAAAAAAATCGATAACTGTTCTTAGCAATGTTACATCAGGGGTTCTGGATATGGTCTATGCCCTCTTGTGAAAAGCCCCCAAAACCCATTTCGAGATGGGCGATATTGCAGAAGTGGCTCTTTTCACATGTGCTTGCATTTTTTTTGGGGGGGGGAGAGGTTTTTGTTATAGGGTGCGTGCACTCGCCAGACAGAGACAGAGAGACAGAAAGCAAGAAATCACCCCCCCAGGTGGGATGGCCACGCCGCAATCCCTTCTCCTCCATTCTCCTCTCGGGATCTTGGGCACGCACGCACACGCGCCCAGCGTGAGTTTAAGCCACCAGGTCCTGGATGAGCACCGCGGTCGACTACGTGGGGTTCCAGCGACATAGCCATTACGCTAACAGCTGGTCCCACGTGTGCTTGCATTAAAGCCTGTGTGCGGGGTTTGCCTTCTGCACGCTACCTCCCCTGAGCTTGTCGGCAAGGGCACGCACACGCCACCGCTGTTCTCAGGAGGCTAAGGCCTGGGCTCTGTCTCGTTGCAGGCTACCTCAACGTGCTCTCCAACAACCGCTGGCGGGAGCGCTGGTGCAGAGTGAAAGATAATAAGCTCATTTTCCACAAGGACAGGACCGACCTGAAGACCCACATCGTGTCCATCCCTCTCCGTGGCTGTGAGGTGATCCCGGGCTTAGACTCCAAACACCCCCTGACGTTCCGACTGCTTCGCAATGGACAGGAGGTTGCTGTATTAGAGGTGCAGTATTTTCTTTTCTATTTTATTTGTTTGTTTGTTTGTTTACTTATTTATTTGGAGAGGTTTATGCTACAGGGCGCGTACGCTCACCAGAAAGACAGAGAGAGACATAGAGACAGAAAGCGAGAAATCACCTCCCAGGGGGGATGGTCACGCCACAATCCCTTCTCCTCCATTCTCTTGGGATCTTGGGCACGCACGCACACGCGCCCAGTGTGAGTTTAAGCCACTGGGTCTGGGACTTGAACCACGGTCGACTACAAGGGAGTCCAGTGACATAGCCATTATGCCAACTGCTGGTCCCAAGGCACAGTATTTTCTTCAAATAGTGATTTTCCTTCCAAAGCCAAATTCCGGTTTCTCTATCAAAATGTCTGACCGCTTGCCGATGGCATCTTTGTCTTCGATTGCTTTCCTTTCCTCTCACTTTGCCCGTTCTGTTAGCGTCTGTTCTTCTTCTGTCCATTTCTGTTCCCGAGGGAGGCTGACCAGAAAGCAGACGGTGCCATGTTTACTGGGCTGTGCACGTCAGACTTGTTTGCCAGATCGCCTCCTTATTTTGTTCCTGCTTTATATCTGTTTGCATAGAAATTAAATATACAATTCCATACGGTGGACTTTTTTAAGTGCCCGGAAGATAATTTATTTAAAAATTTCCAGTAACGCCTAACTATATAGGCTACCTTTGAAACGGCTGTAAATGTCTCCTTTAACCTAGCCTTTGAAATGTTCTTGGCTTCCTTGCAGACGGAACAGACATCCTGGACCAGCTGAGTGCCTTCCAGACGGGCCAGTGGGCCACATTAACAAAACCGAAAGAACACAATCAGTTTTAAGGACCCTGGGCTTTGTTGGGAATTATTATTTGTTTGAATGCTTTTCTAGAACTTTTTATTCACTAAAGCAGAAAGAGGCAATTATCTTAAAAGTAGTTTACGTGCAAAACGTTCATTTGGGGAAATTTAAATTTTATTTATCACCTTACGAGATGAACTTATTTTCTACCCAGTGTTAATTCAGACCTTTTTCCTTTGTCTCTACCGCCTATTTAGTAATAATATTATTATTACCTAATGTTATTAGATTAGATTAGTTAGATTTGGTGGGCGGGACCAATGTGTGACTCAAATTAATTGGGCAAGCAGCCGAATTGTACATGACTGTGTAGCAGTAACGATCAGTGGAGGAGATAGCACAGGACTGTGACCGGAATCAAGGGGGCCCAGTTAGGCAATCCAGAGGATCTTCAATTCACAAATAAGACTTTGTTTCAGGTACTAGTTTTACAGAAACCACTTTTTCTTTCTTTCTTTTTTTTGGAGAGGTTTTTGATATAAGGCACGTGCACTCGCCAGACAGACAGAGAGAGACAGAGAGACAGAAAGCAAGAAATCACCCTCCAGGGGGGATGGTCATGCCGCAATCCCTTCTCCTCCATTCTCCTCTCGGGATCTTGGGCACGCACGCACACGCGCCCGGCATGAGTTTTAAGCCACTGGGTCCGGGACGCGAACCGCGGACGACTACGTGGGAGTCCAGCGACATAGCCATTACGCTAACTGCTAGTTCCCCAGAAACCAATTCTTAATCCCTGCAAATCTCAGACATTCAACCCAGAAGCAAAAGAAAACTTTTTTTTTCTGGAGAGGCTTATTATTATTTTTTATTATTATTATTATTTTGCTATAGAATGCGTGCACTGGCCAGAAAGACAGAGAGACAGAAAGCGAGAAATAACCCCCCCCGGGGGGATGGCCACGCAGAAAT